GACGATCCCCTCTTCCTTCTTCCCTTTCCCCAGGAGCCAGCCCCTCCCAGTCGTATCCTCCGTGTCCCCCTGAGCTCAGGTGATAGAGCGGGTGCTGGTGGCATCCTTGCCCGGATCTGAGTCAGACTGGGAGCTCCTGGAGGGCCAGGGCAGGACCCCTCCCCGGAGTGCCCCTCGGTGCCCTCCCTGTCCTGTTTGCTGGCACTGCCAGGGGCGACAGGCTTTGGCGAGTGGCTACCAGTGGGAGCACTGATGGGAGATTGGAAAGCGGAAAGAAAGGGGGAGCCAGGGTGTTCGCCTAGCCCTCCCCCTTCTGTGTTGGGGTATGTGTTTGGCAGTGGCTGTGTCTCCTCTGATCACCATGGTCCAGCCCTGCCTGGCCGAGGCTCTAACCACACTCCTTCCTCCTGCATCCCTCTGGGCCCCGTGGGTGGTCCTGGCAGCCTCCTGCTGTCGCTAAGCTCTGAGGGCTTCTTGGGCTCAGCTTCTAAGCTTTTCCATCCGTGTGAGCACTTCCCAGCTCTGCATTCCCTCCCTGTGTACTGCCTCGTGTGGCTGTTTCCCTGACAGGAGCCCATGGATGCCTCCGCGTCTCCGGCCTCTGACGGAAGGAGCTCACTGCGCTCCTATTGGCTGGGTGCGTTTCCTGTTAAAATAGTCCAGAAAAGGCGGATGTTGCCCGCCTTCCCCAGGCCTTCTCCTTGGCCTCACCTCACTTTCCAGAACCTTGGCAATCTAGAAGTGGAGGGCCAGCCCCAGAAAACCGGAGACCAAATCTTCAAAGCTCTTGGAGATTCTGTCTGGCTCATTACTGATTCGTTTTCTCAAGCCCCGGCTTCTGATCGGAACCATCTCCAGAACAAGTGTCATCAGTGAGCCAAATTAAATAGCCCCAGCTCTGCCCTTTGCATCGGTCACAGATCGCGAGTATGGAGTGGAAGGCTGGGCTCCCAGAGGCCAGCTCTGCCGTCAGTCCTGGCAGCCCCGCACAGAGGCAGGACCTAACCCCAACCCAGCCGGGGACGCAGATGAGGGGCCGTTTGCAGCCCAATTAGTCTGGAAGGAGACTCACAGGGAATGCCGATTTAAGAAAAGCACAGACGGGGAGCGCACGGCATTGGTGGTCTCCTGACCGTGCCAGGGCGCTGGGACCTTCTAGGGTGAGTCTGGAGGCCCAGGAGTGGGTGGGCCTCCCAGTTCCTGCCCAGACCCCCTCCTTCTCCTCCTTCTCCGAGGGTCCCAGAGTCTGGAGACAGACCCACCTGGGTTCTCATTCTGCCTCGGTGACTTACCAGCTGTGGAGACAGAGTGAATGTTTGACCTGGTCTGGGCCTCAGTTTCCTCATCTGTGAAATGGGCTCCTCTGTCATAGTTCTAGGAAGAGCTCCAGGACAGAAAAAATGCTCCACAAAGAGCCTAGCCTGGACCCAGGCCAAGCCTCCAGAGTGCCTGTGGGCCTGCTTGCTCTGTGCTGAGCTGGCGCGTCGTTCAAATGAACCTTCTTCCTGTGCTTGGGGAGAGGCGGGCTCACACTGGAGAAAGGCCCTGGGCGAGCCTCGGCCGCTGTTGCTCCGGCTGCGGTCCGCACAGCCTGGTTCGTCTGCACAGTGCCTCTCTCTGCATCTACTCAGTGAGTGTGGGCTCTTCCCATCTCTCCTCCTCCCTCTCCTTCTCCTCCCTCCCCTCCTTCTCCCACCTCTCTCATTCTTTCCTCCAGCTCCGCCCTTTCCTTCTCCACTTTTCTTTCTCCTTTCTCCTCCTCTTTCTTCTTCTCCTCCACCTTTCCCTCTCCTCCTCCCATCACCCCTGATGACATCGTCGCTTCCTGGCCTCAGAAATGTCTGTGGAGGCCTGGCTGCTCCTTCCTGCCCGGCCCGCCAGGGGAGGGAACACAAGGGGTGACATTTAGCCATTGGAGGGTGACGTGGGTGATAGAGAGAGGGCATGTGGCCTTTGCAATTGTTACTGTTACCCAATGTGCTAGGCCTAACCCAAACCCTCTGCACCCCTTCCCCTTCCCACTGCTGAGCCCTGTGGAGTATCATTCTTCTCCCTCTCCCTCAAGCTCACACTCGTCTTTATCGACCCCAACCCTCTCCCCTCCCATGTGAACTGCATGCAGCCATCGCCTAAGGCAGGGCCCCTTCAAGTGCCCTTGACTGGGAATGGAACCGAGACCCTCTGGGGAGAGGGCTGAGCTCTGACCATTGAGCAGCTCCAGCCAGGGCCTCAGTGGGTTGTAAAAGTTGACCACGTTCATTCTGTCCCCAGCAGCCTTGTCAGTGCCCACCACCACCCCGCAGCGGGGGTGGGGGGGAGGGGGCAGCACTCCTGTCATGTTTGGTTTTGAAATTGGCTTTGGGAGCAGAAATAGGCCGGCGACATGTCCTCTCTCAGCCACAGGGAGTGCAGGGCTGGAAGGCAGGCCTGGCCCTAAACACCGGCCCTGGCTTTGAAACAGGCACCTCAGATCTGACCCCTTCTGGGTTGAGATGCACCTTGGTTGAAAAAAGAATGACCAGCAGAATGGAGACAGCCACTATCGGCCTTTCACACTGTGTGTGAACAAGCTCATTCTGTTTCTCTTCACTTTGTGGAGAAATACACAAAGAAAATCCCCTGTGGGGAATGGGGGTTTTAAACGATATTGTTTGTTCTCTGTAATGGAAGGAGTGCCGCTCGCACTTGAAAGGCTTCAGGGTAACGGGGACCCAGGGTTCAAGGCTGGGCTTTGCTGCCGGCCTGTTCACACCTACGGAGACACCGATTCTTCCTGTGAATTTCTAAGGAGGGGATGTGCTCCCAGCATGCCTGAGGTTTATTGGACCATGAATCTTGTCACAGAATCTTGGCGGGGGGCTAGCGACCCTTGAGTACATTTGTAAACCCTAGTGAATATAAAATCACCAGTGAATATAACCCCCTACACGTAAGGAATACTGTGTAGCTGGTGCCCAGTGAGCTTTCAGACATGATTTCATTCAATGAGATTTTCTTCAGGGACAAAGGAGAGGGTCGCTTGAGATTGTGGAGGGCAAGAGCAAGACTGGGGGCACCAGCAGGGGGACCTGGGCACCCGGGAAGCTCCAGGGTCGCTGGGGACAAAGGCCCCACCTCAGTAGGCCTTCCACTGGGTTCCTGCTCCGCCACAGCAAATGGGCTGCACCTCCTGAGCCCCCCAGCCGCCCCAGAGCCCCAGCCAGGACCTTCCCTGGCTTTCTTGTCCAGGAACATGCGTGGTTGTGAGGAGCACAGCTCTCTAGGAGGCCCCTGTCATGGCTGTCTGCCCAAGGCTGGCCTGGGCCACACGGCCAGGTTGCAGCCTTTCTCTCTGCATCCAACAGCATTTAGGATGCTCAGGATCCATGAGTGATCTGGTCATTCAAATCATACCAGAGTGTGCTAATCCCGCGTGCTAGCCCCGTTGAGATGAATCTGCTTTTCCAGGGTCACGTTTGCCTGATGGTGGGATTGCAGGCCCCGCTGTGAGCGATGAAGGTGGTGTCGTTGACCTGCCGTGCCTTCCCGGGACCCCGTGAGGGATCCACCATCCATCGGTCCCTGTTAACTACTGTGCTTTTCCAGGTGCGCCCCCGCATTTCTGCATCCGGCAGGAAAAGACAGTGCTTCTCAGAGTTCTGAACCTCATGTTCTGGACCCACCATGGGAGGTACTGACCTATCACGCTTAGCATCCATTCACCTGGACCCCTGGGACTGTGGGGGAGTAACTCCACATAATGACCAGAGGTCGCAATAGCCAGGCCCCATTGCAAGCCTTTCTTATGCATTAACTTGCTTACGCCTCCTGTTGGGGAGCACCAGAGACTTGGCTGGAAAGTTGTGTAAGGAAGACCTTCTGAGAAAAGGGAAGTGTGTGGAATGCCGACTGCCCTGTTTATTGGAATTCTGACTTAGGGGAGACTTAGGGGAGTGCCGAAGGTGGTGCCCCTAATTATTTCCTTGACCTTTCCAAACAAGTCTGTGCATGTGCAGAGCCCGGGTGTTTACTGGAATCCTTATGCTTAATCCCTGGATGCCCTTGCCTAGAGGACAATGTAAACGTGTGTCCTACTGATTGTATCTAAAGATAAAAATTCCAATAAAGACCACGGACAACAGGAGAGTGGGGGCATATGTAAGGAGGAGTTTGGGATGGGAATGAGGGGATAAGGACAATTATGTGAGATCATAATCAATAAATTAAAAAAAAAAACAAAACCTGAAAACACAATAAAAAAAATTCCAATAAAGGCCTAAGGAGTCAGGCAATAGAGGCTGCTCTGGCTACTAAAGCCAGGGGCCCCTTAGCTCTCTCTTGCACAGTCAAACTGTGTCAGAGTAATCTGTTCACCCATTGTTCAGGGGCCCCCAGAGCTGAAGGGCAGAGGGCAGGCCTGGACCCAGAGCTGGAATTGCAGACTGCAGAGGCCGTTAGAAGTAGCTCTGCCCAGGCTGCTCAGGCAAAGAACAAACGTAGAAGGCATAGGCATCTTAAAACAGAATCTTGGAGAAACGAATGTGTCGTCTAAAGGAATGCATCTCAAAAAGGCCATGTTCAAGAGTTAGGAGGAGAAACTATGTTGGCCAGAGAACATTTCCAGAAAAAAACAACCCCCCACCTCCCCCAAACAAATGAACTGACAGAAAACCAACAAACAGGCTAAACTAAAATATAAACAACAACAAAGCCACACCGAGAACCACAGGCAGGCAGTCACCTCTTCTGCTTGGGGATAAAACTGACAGTTCTACAAACACAGGGAGAGAGAGATAAAAGATTTCAAAGTACGGGAGTGACTTGTTTTTTCATTTAATGCCAGGTTTCAACGAAGAAAGGTTATGTTTGTCACCGGCACACATTTGTTACGCTTAGAACCCACCCAGATGTCTTCACAGGCTCTGTCAGGAGTGGGGAGGAGGGGTCCCCCACTGCTTCGTAGCAAAGCCGCTTCTGGAACCGCCCTTCGCTGGGAGTATGGAGCTGCCCGCTCAGGGCCATCACTTCTTTTTGAACACCTGACGGCACACCTGGTCACCGCACGTCAGCTCCTGCAACATCAGAAAGTGGGTGAGTGACGAGCAAGCTGGGTCTTCCTTCTGCCCTGTCGCTGGCCTTCTTGTCGTCTGTGATTTGGGGGCCAAGGGAGTGGTGGGCAACTGTACTAAAGAGGACACTTATTCTGGGCAAAGTGTATCTCATGGATCCAATCAGCTGGCAGGCCCTGATTTGATTTTGACCCTCGAATTGAGCTTGAGCAAGTATAAAAACCAAACATTTGAAGAAATTACCCTCTTGGGTGGGATGTCTCCTACTTTCATGACTAAAGCAGCATCACCTCATGTTTAGAGGGCAGCAAAGCCATGAAGAAGAGAAGGATCTAGGGAGGGAGAAGCATTTGGAAGGCGAGGGCCTAGGAAGATGCTCGCTGGTGACCCGTGTGGCTCGGGCCTGTGGGCTTCGTGGCCTTGGGAGATGAGGACGTGGGTTGGTCTGGGCCCAGGCAGTGATAGGGTATGGGCTGCAGACAAGATGCTGTTTTTCATCCGGACAGAGGGGGCCCTCGAGCCTTATCTGTAACTCATGACCCTTTAAGGGAGGAGAGAAAAACACGAGTGTGGGGAGCGCCCTGAAATCATTGCAGTTGGCGGCGGATCCCTTGTCTTCACCGCAGGGACCGCTGGGTATTGCACTACAATTAAAAAGATCCATCATCCAGCCCGGAGCACGCAGGGAAAACCTCCGATGGAAAAACACAGCGCGTGCCTCCCATCTGTCATCCATCAGCTGGCATTGCCTCTGGAATAAAGACCTCAGGTGAGGCCAGGCTGGCTCTGAAGGGCACATGGCGACCTGAATACTGACACTGGGGCCAGGCACCTGCCCGACTCCACAGATAAATGAATGAATGAAGTGCCATTAGTTGAATGAGCCATTTATTTAACAAATGAGTGACTGACTGAATGCATGGAGGCGTGAAGCATTTTTCACTGTTTGAATGTTTGACCCATACATTGCCTTGAAGATTGAAGAATAAAAAATTGAGCTACCTACACAGATATAACTCAAGGATATCAGCCATACTACCTACTGCACTGCCTTAGTACCGAATAACCTAAAATAGTTCGGCATCCAGCAGACACAGCTTATGATGGGAGGCCAATGCCTGGGGCCTACAAGCAGAGCATGGGCCCAGCTGCCCCCTGTCTGTTCCATCTGCACCCCAACCTCTCTTTTCCAGGCTCCCGTAACTGCGAGGAGGCCCGGTCCCACCCTCTCTGGGGACATCTTAATTCTGGGCCTCGCATTTCTCTCCAGCTGCTCTCTGCAGGTGCCCTGCCTTTCTCCATGGATCTCAGCTCCCTGGCTCAGCATTTTGGACGTTTATTTTAACGGCAGCCATTCACAGGAACGGCCGTATAGATTTCTTCCTGGAGACCCCTGAGCCAGACAGGAATGGCTTTCTGACTCTCTGACCACCCGCATTTGGCTGGAGCTCAGAGCAGGGGAGGAGAGCAGGGCTGTTTTTCTTGTCAAGGCGTCTGGCTGGCTGAACAGGCGGCTCCTGTGAACACAGAGGCAGGGAGCTGGGCAGAGCGGGGACTTACCAGGATTAGCTTGTCCCCTTCCACCCACTGCTTCCAGCCGCGGTTCTCCTTCTCCCCCTTCTGCACGCACACGAGGACATTGCCTTCCCAGGTGATCAGTGACTGCAATGACATGTTCCAGCAGATCAATGGTGTGGCCTTGACTGGGACCCAACAAACGTCAACCTGCGGCTGCAGTCTCGACGCTGTGCCCAGGCTCTCACCTGGCCGCCGGGCAGAGCCCTCAGCCCCAGCCAAGACCTTCCAGGCTCATTTCCACACACACACACATACACACACACACACACACACACACACACACACACACACCTGCCATTCTAGCCACACCGACTCGCCTCGCCGTGGCTGGTTTGCCCTCTTTTAAGGGATTCTACTCTTCCATCGTATCCTATGGGACAGACAGCATTCCAAACCAGAAGGGGGAAAGACGATGAATGTGACTGTGTCACCATGTAACATTTCTGGAAGGGGAAGATACATCAGCGTCTACAGATGGATAACAAACTGGGAAAATAACTGTAACACGTGTCAGACAAAAGACCTGCGTCCCTTCTCTATAAGGCGCTCCCATAAACCAGTAAGAAAAAGGTCATTGACCTGACAGGAAACTCAACTAAAGATGCCGACTCACAGCTTACATTTGGGGTGGAGGATGTCATTGGGTCTGGCCCTGCCACTCCTTCATTGGGAGTGTGTTAATGAAATGTTTGACCCAGTAGAGCAGGCTAGTTTTGAAGTCCCTAACTCTGTGCCGCGCCCTAGGAGGATATTATAAATATCCAGATGGCCCTGGGCAGAAAAATGGTTCCCTCCCCTAGTGACACAAGGGAAAAAAAACACACACAACCCTAGCAGATGGCTTTTAAACATAAGGAAAGAAAATCAACTTCACTCAGATAAGAGAAATGCAAATGAGGCTTTTTTTTTTTTTTTATACCATTCACCTCACAGCCAAAGATGAAAGAGGGATAACACCCTGCAGAGGGGCAGGCACCGCCTCTGAGGCTGAGAGGCTCCCCCACCCCCAGTCGCCCTTCAGCTGAAGGGTTCCAGTCCAGTCATAGGAAGGAGGTAGTGGGAGGGCACCTGCCTGTGCTGTGATTCTTTTGGGAACAGCCCATTGTGGGAGACTGGGCAAAGTCTTCTCAGCCCCTACCGGTGAGGGCGAGGGTGAGAATGAGGGCGAGGGCGAGGTGAGAGTGAATGGTAGCCCCAACTATTTGCTGTGGGCAAGCAGAGACAAAAAGTTGGAAAGGGAATTATCTCTCTTTTTTTCTCCTTCCTCTCTCTCTCTCTCTCTCTCTCTCCCCCTCCCCCTCCCCTTTCCTCCCCCTCCCCCTCCCTCTCCCTCTCCTTCTTCCTCTCCTTCTCTCCTCTCTGCAGGGCTAAGAACTGACCCTGGGGAGGGTGGGGTCTGAGGGAAAGCAGAGAGGCGGAAGGAAAGTGGGTGTTAACGCAGGGAATGATCTGAGTCACAAAGGGCTGAAAGGAGACCATTACTTCAGGAAGAGGAGTTCTCTGCCATCCATGGCGATGCCAGAACAAGTCAGAGAGAATAGGCCTCTCTTTCTCCACCAAAATGCAAAGGCCAGGGGGCATGATCATTTTCAGCTGAAATTCTGAGCCAGTTCTCCTATGAACTCTGGTGTCTGATGCCTCGGCCTTCCAGCCACACCATTCAGAAATGCCCCGTCGATCCATCAGCCTCTCGCAGGGGCTGCCCCAGGGCTCAGACGCTGAGGCTCTCGGGCTGAGTCCACTCTGATGGAAGCATCGCCAAAGTGCTTTTCACTTCTGACTTCTTAGCGAGGGCACTAGCTATGAGTCAGCCTCGGCGTGATGGCCGAGAGGATCGGTGCTGCAGGGCAGCGTGAGAAATAAAGGGTGTATCTGCTCCCGTGGCTAGGAGGTCAGCAGCAAAGAACAGTGGCAACCTTCCCTTCCAATCCCAGGGAGTGACAGAGCTCGTGGCCCTCGACTTGGGGAAGCGCTGAGACCTCCAACTTTGAAAGAGCTTCGGAAACAAGAGAGAAGGGGGACCCCGGGGGAGCGAGGGGTGCCTGGCGAAGGAGGAAGGGCAGGGGGGAGGGTCCTGGCACTCTGAGGAGCTGCCTCTGCTGGGGGTGATAATATGGGTCCCTGGGGACAGGATACCCAGCTCACCTCCCCAGCTCGGGAGCCAGGGCAGAGGTCCCGGTGGCTGCATTGGCACAGATGGGGTAGGTGCCATGAATAGTCAAGCTGCCCACCCTCACACAAACTACACGGGCACGGACAGTGAGCAGCCACTGGCAATCATACCAAATGACCCACCAGAACCCCTTTCCTGGACTGTGTGGCCCCTGGGGTCCTAATCGGATGCGAAGGTTGGGGTGGGAGAATCCTTCAATTCCACTGAGATGGACTTTCTCCCCCATTCCTGCTTGTGGGGGCTGACCAGGTGTAACTGAATTTGGAAAACCAAAGACAGGCGCACGGAGTGTGAGTGTGAACACGACGACCATCGGTCACCAGGCTGGAGGAGAGGGGACCAGCTGTCACCCCTGGCTTTTCCACCTCCACCCGCTGTGCGCTCCCCCTCCTCCTCGCTGCTTCTCCTCTCCGCCTTATTTACAAACCGCTGCTCTGGGCAAGGGCCGGCCTCCTGCGCTTGGAGACAACACGTGAAGCCTCTGCTCGCTTTCAGAATCCTCCCTGTACCCATGCCCCTCGGGCACCCGGCAGTCTGGCCTCTGGAAGCCTGGGGATTGGCTCCATTAGGTCCTGGGAGTTAGGGTGACCCCGGCACAGAGCCAGAGATGTGTCCCAGACTTCTGGGACTGGACTGGGACTGGAGGACCCCGACTTCACTCAGTACGCTGAGTGTTTTGTTTTCTATGCACTTCATTCTTCTTTAAAAATAAACAAATAAATAAATAAACCGGTGGGGTTCATCTACAATGGAGAAATTTCATATGAAAACCTATGAATTCTGCTGGGACCGGTTTGGCTCAATGGATAGAGCGTCGGCTTGGGGACTGAAAGGTCCCCGGTTCGATTCTGGTCAAGGGCATGTACCTTGGTTGCGGGTATATCCCCAGTAGGGGGTGTGCAAGAGGCAGCTGATCGATGACTCTTTCTCATCAATGTTTCTAACTCTCTCTCTCTCCCTTCCTCTCTGTACAAAATCAATAAAATATATTAAAAAAAACACACACACAAAAAAAACCCTATGAATTCTCAACATCTCTTGGGGGGCAAAAAAAAAAATCTGTGAATGTGAGGCATCCGTCCCCCGTGGCAATGTGTGGCTGGTGCGGAGCAGGCTGCCCCTCGGAGGAAGCTGCACCGCTCAGCTCACAGGGCGGAGTGCTCCCTGCAACATCCCACCGGGCCCTCTTCTCACTGGCCGCCAGCCCAGGCCTCCCCGGAGAGGCCGCACCCTTCCATCGCTCCTTTGCGCAGCAGCTCAGTGCAAAGCTAGCGTGCCCCTTCCTCCCTAAAATAAGGTTGCTCGGTACCAGCGTCATTGAGTCCGCTCCGGTCCCCCTTTCCAGGTTGTTTCTGTCCCTTCCCCTTGGAGAGGCCGGATTGCCAGCCCCTCCGGAGCGCGCGTGTGAAAACGGCCCGCCCCGCCGAGTACCTTAACGACCCGGTTGTCCAGGCCTTTGGTGTGCTCGTCAAACTCCACGCCCACGGTGAAGTCCAGGTCGTAGTTGCGGAACGTGCTGTTGGTTTTCGTCTTGAAGTTGTCGCCGTCCTGCTGGATGATCTTGGTCTGGGTCAGGCGCACTGCGATCTTGCGGGTGGCGAAGTCGATGTCTGTGGGCAGAGGGAGTCGTGGTGGTTCTGACGTGCTCAGCCAGGCTCACTCGTTTCTGTCACAAGGCCACGCAGCCCGGCGGAGGGGCAGGGCGGGCCCCATGTCTCTGCCCAAGCGGGGAGCAAGAGTGGTCTCACACCCGACCAGTTTGGGCAGCTCGGTCAATGGGTGGGGAGCCCTGGTGGCAGGGGAGGTCGCAGGCAGGGTCATGCCTGAGCTGCAACTCTCCAGTATGCATTCACACACACACACACACACACACACACAGACCTCCACCTCAGCAGCTCCATTCTACTTATTTGACATATTGGGTTTCTTTTTCTTTTTTTTTTTTTAATATATTTTTATTAATTTTTTACAGAGAGGAAGGGAGAACGATAGTCAGAAACATTGATGAGAGAGAATCATCAATCAGCTGCCTCCTACACACCCCTCACTGGGGATGTGCCCACAACCAAGGTACATGCCCTTGACCGGAATGGAACCTGGGACCCTTCAGTCCACAGGCCGACACTCTATCCACTGAGCCAAAAACGTTTTTGGCGACATATTGGGTTTCTTTTGAAGAGTTTGCTGAACATGAGATTTTATGTTTTAAAAGAAAAAAGGACTGTTCAAAACTCACCAGCCTAGGTGAAGATGGAATTTGTTATTGTCTGCCAGCCCGGAAGGATACATATAAAACTTCCATTTTTAAAGCCGATTAGGCGCTTTCTTACTAGGGCTGTTCTCCCTCCCTCACCGGCTGTCAGGGTCCTCCACATACTGTAGACCAGGGGTCGCCAGTCTGTCGGGCCTCACAGACCACCAGTGGTCACACCGGTTGGAGACCACTGCTCTGGACACTCAATAAACACTTCCTTCTAGATTTGCTTCATCGTTTTAAAGGAAAAGATGGTCATTTGTTCATATTCATAATATGAAAATTTTCAAACAAACCAAAGTAGAGAGGAGCGTACCAGGAACCCGGCCCTCATCACCCGGATTCCACAGTTCCCAAGATTTCGCTGCGTTTATTCCTGTACAGCTTTCCCTTGTCCTGATATGTTAATGGAAATCTTACTCATCTCTGAGAGGCCATTGGGAAGTAAAAGGGAGCGTGCCCTTCCATGGAGAGCTGCATCTCCCAAGCTTTGCACGTTACGGTAAAAAGCTAAGTGCTGCGTGCGCCTCCTTGCTAACCTCTGGTTAATACATAAACCCTCCTTCATGCCAAAAGAGCGCCGTGGTGGTGGAATCAGCCTAGAAACAGAGGACATGTCTGGAGCTGCTAAATGTGTTCCTTTGCTGTGATCCTCATTAAGCTCTTAGTCTCTAACCAAATCATATTTGACCCCCTACCTAGTATGCCTGTAAATTCTCCAGTAAAATGGCGGAAAGATGGCTTACCTCACAGTTATTTAATGCAAAAACTCATTTAAATAATGATAAAAATGCTTTCGACAGGAGCTGTGGTTATTTGACGCACACTGGCCTTCAAGCATTAGCCTTTTCTGTTTCAGTCAGATATCGTCTGGAGTGAAATGTTTGGGCCACACTTCCACATCCACCTCCCCACGCGGTCCCAGGGCCCCGGACTCTGAAGAGCAGTCGGATGGACATTCTGGCCCATCACATGGACATTCTGTCAGCTTCTTCGCTCCATGATTTGGCTGGTGGGTAAATGCATCAGCCCTGCCTTGGCCCTCGGTGCTGTGGCCCATGCTGGGCCACACCCTGCTGCTGGCACCACAGGTAAAATGGGAAAAAACAAACCAACTAACCAACCAACCAACCAACTAACCAACTAACCAACCAACCAACCACAGGTCACATATTAACCAGATGAAACCAAGAAGGCGGCTCCTCCAGGCAGAATGACTCAGAGAGAACCGGGAATGACAGCGGAATTCAGGACCGAGGTGTCTGTCAGAGAGTAAGCCTGTTTCCATTCCCCTGAGGTGGGCAGCAAGGCCCAGAGACGTTACATGGCAGGTTCTGAGCTGCTCAGCTGGGCCAGAGCTCCAGACAGTTTGTTTGCCTGCACACCCATCCCAGTGTCATTCACAACTAAGGCTTTCCCAGCAGAAAACAACACTTGTCCTTGGCTGCTTAGAAAGGTGGGTCGCAGTGTAAAATGCCTATTGCCGGGGGAACCGGCTTGTCCTGGAGAGAGCATCCCTCCTCAATCTTTCTGACCGGGGCCGGTGGAATCCTGTTACAGGCTCTATGCAAATGGGATCCAGTACCACTTCTTCTCCGGATTGAAAAATGGCACGGCCTCCTGGCTTCCCTTCAGCGTTTACACAGGCCAGTTAATCACGCCACCTCTGCTCCACTCCGGGGAAGGGGGCCGAACACTCCGCTGGCGGGCACGTGATGTTTCTAATCGAAAGGAGAGGTGTACCTGCAGCTGCAGAACACACACACACACACACACATACACACACACTCACACATATACACACTCACACACACACACACTCACACACAGGTTACAAAAACGCTTCCCCTTTGTGCTCCGCAGAGAAAATTATTTTCCTGATACGGTATTCTAACACCAGGGTTATCGAATATGTTTTATCTGCTTCTCTGGGTTAAAGGTAGCTCCGAGCCTGATTCACAGCCAGGTGAAATGAATTTCTACCTCAGGGGAGAAGGTCCAAAGGCAAGCCAGTCCTGAATAATATATATATGCCTCGTAGCTGCTGCAGAAAAAAAACCCCCCCAAAAAAAACCAAACCAGCACTGAAGTGACTTTATTAAAAGCATACTTTTCATAACTGCATTTTGAACAATGCAAGCCATAAAGGTGAAATATGGGCATGCTACTCCACATTAAAATGCTTTGTAATGTTATTGTGAAAAAAAGCTATAGAGTTGCAGGCACACAGGGCAGGCGTTCTTTGTCAATTAAAGAGCAGAGGTGCACCCGTATTCATCATATGAACCCTGATACCCATCCCTGTGCCCCCGTGCTGGGCTTCCAACCTGGGCTCCCTCATTCTCCAAGCATCAGCAGGCGTAGGCGATTGTGAGCAGCGTGTGGAGGAGCGATCCTCTCCTTTCTTCCACGCCATTTCCTCCTCCATGTGACACTTTCAGAGAGGACTTGGCCTGGGCCCCTGCCTGCCTCCTCTCGCTCCTCAAGGACATTTCCAAGGAGCTTTCCCTGGCCGGCAGAGGCAGCTGGAGAACTCCCCTTGCCCCATTTTCCTCTTCACTGTAGTCTGCTCCCCTCCCCGCTGGGAAGGGGGTCAGGAGGGAGGTGCTGCTGGTACATATAAGGGAGGGACCAAACCTGTCTTCACCTGGGTCTCCTCCATCCTGAGCACGTTCCCTTTTGAAAGTGCAACCAGGCACCATGTGCTTTAAACAGAGACTTTGGCAATGACTTCATTGGCTTGTGAGCACCAGCAGGAATCCAAATTTTCTGATGTCAAATCTTCATTGGGTCATTCCCTCCCTCCCTCCCTCCCTCCCTCCCTCCCTCCCTCCCTCCCTCCCTCCCTCCCTTTCTTCCCTTTCCCTCCATTTCCCCCCTCCTTCCCTGTCTTCCTCCCTTTTCTCCAGCCCATGGCACTGCCCTAGCCCAACCCACCATCATCACGTTTTGCCTGAACAACTCAACAGCCTGCTAAGGGGCATCTCTGCTTCCAGCCTTGCCCTCCTGTGACTCATTCTTTATATTGTCACCATAGGGACCCTTCAAGAATATACATAAGGTAGGTTAAGTCTTCCCATCATGAGGCCTGGCCTGCCTCTGTGCACTGATCTTTCCTTGTTCACCACACTCCCAACACACCAGCCGTCACATGGCTCTCGAACACGCCCAGAGCCTTTACATGTGCTGTTCCCTGTGCCTGGAATAACACTTCTCAGTGTTTAAGCTTCGGCTTCAATGTCCCCTGCTCAGCCAGCCTTCCCTGACCACCCATCATTCTCCACCCCATCACTCCTTCTTGTTTCCTTTAAGCACTTACCACTACCTAAAACCATCTTCATCCTGAGATTTTCAGCTCTTTCCATCCCACGGCACATCTAAATTCATTACTAAAATTCTGCAGCACACCAAAAAATTATATTTTTTGCTGATCTGACAAAAATATAGGTATACTTTGTTGATTTACAAAAAAATAATAAAAATAGCAATTACCTCCCTTTTTTGCTGCAAAGTGACTTTAAAAAAAAAATCAGGTGCCTATACTTGTACACAAACATTTCTGTTACAAAACAACAACAACAACAACAACAACAATTAGACACAACAACCAGATCCAGTTGGAAGGCAGACCTCAGGACATGACACTTTTCTCAGGGTGAGTTTAGCAGCTGCTTTCCCTTGTTGTCAAAAAAGAATCTGGGGCCTCAAGAAAGATCAGGTGTCTCAGAAAGCAGGGGAGGAGGCACCCTTGACCCTTGGCCCTCCTTCTTTGAACAATTAATGACTTTGATAATTTGGGGCAGACCCAAAGGTTGTCATGACGTGTCACTCTGCTGAGGCCGGCAGCTGGGGAGGCCGGGTGTGGGGTGAGTCACTGGGAGGCTCATTCCCTCCGGAACCGGCAGTCGGGCTCTCAGAGAAAGCCAACTCCCTGACACTGGGACTAACGCTAAGAAGGTGACAATTCTTTGGCAGGAAGAGGAGTTATACTTCATGGTGATTACCTATCTGTTCTTTTCTGAGATCTCCATATGTGTTCTCCTCAAATGCCAAGGGCCCCTTGCCCCCAAGCAGAAGGCAGGCAAGCTCCATGGACTTGTCAGCATTGGAGAAACAGCCCTGCCCTGCAGGGCGGGTGTGGAGGAAATGGCACGGTTCTGCTGGATGCTTTCAGCAGGTGAAATTGTCAGGGTGGCCCTCCCTCAGCTGCTTCTGGCTGAGACCCTCCAGACCTGTTTTTAGTCATCACCGGGGCATGCCCCTCCCCCGCTCGTGGCCCCCTGGGCAGGTGAGAGGGGGCAGGTGTCCTGTCTCCAGGGTGGAAAGTGACTCCAGCTAAAGCCTTTTTGCACATGGCATCATGGGCTCAAGCTGGAGCAACTTCCTGGGGCCCTGCCACCCCGGGGCTGTCAGCAGCCGGGTAAACAGAGGCATCAAGCACACCCACCTTTGGGGTTTAACGAGTAAACCACCTACAGTTTTAATCTTAACCAGGAGAGTGGCAGCCCACTCCCCCTAAACTTCAGAGACTCTGGCACAAAAAGGTCCAACAAGCCCGGCTGGTGTGGCTCAGCGGTTGGGTGTCGACCCAGGAACCAATAGCTTGCTGGTTTGATTCCTGCTCAGGGCATATGCCCAGGTTGCAGGCTCGATTTCCAGGAGGCAGTTGATCAATGATGTTCCTCTCTCATTGATGTTTCTATCTTTCTATCTCTCTCCCTTCCTTTCTCTCTAAAAACCAATTATACATATTTTAAAAAAAGAAAGAAAGAAAAAGGTCCGACAGTTTCCTCATTAGCCTGAAATCTATGTAGACCTATGACGCTAAACTGGAAATTCTGACTGAAGCTGTGAGAGACAATAGGCATCTGATACCGAAGATACTGGGACAGAGCTACCCAAGGCATTCACGAGCCCCCCCCCCCCCCCCACGCGGAGCCCCCCCCCCGTCCCCACACACACACACGCGGAGGCTCACATTCAGGGAGTCCCCTGAAGGCTGTTTCTAGAGCGAGAACTGGCAGCGTGCCTCGCATCAATCCCTTCCGGAGAGGACAGAGGGTGGGGACAGGGTGGCTGGCCGCTCACCTTACACCTAGAGAAAGGGTTTCAGGGGCCCACCCTGCAGAGCTGGAAACTAGACGGAGGCTGGATTTTACACCCAAAGTCTCCGCAGCACTTTTCATTCTTTAAAAATGAGCAGAAAAAGACACAAAGTCGCTTTCTGACTATATTTCCCCAAATCCGCTTGCTTAGCAGGCTGCTGAAACCTGGCAACCCACAACAGGCCCCTGTTAACGTGCTTCCCGCTGTTCCACTGCTGACATCATCGAGAGAAGCAGGCGATGCTGGTGCTATTTCCCCTGCGTGGCGGATGAGGAAACCGGTGCTGAGAAGGTCAAGGTCAGCGAGAAAGCCGTGGCTACGTGGGCCCCTCTGGCTCGCTTTCCTCCTCTGATGCTCTTGTTCTGAGCTAAGCTCCAGACCATCTGTTTACCCACAGAGGGAATCAGAACTCAATTCTATTGCTCACTCAGGGCCCTAAAACCAGGTGCAACAGGGATAGGATTTTTGCCTCCTACCGCCTCTTCCAAGTACAGAGTGCCCTTAAAAATGTATACATACTGTCCCAGCTGCTAGCTCAATTTTGCAAATGAGATGTATTTTAATAAACACCGCCTTTACCATTATTCAAAGTGTGCGTATCCATTTGTGGGGATGCCCTTTGTACTGAGGTACAATTCTGATCACCAGGAGGGGAAAAAGCTACCCCACGTTGGAAATAAGTTTAATGTACACTTAGAAAGTTCTATACACTGTCCAACATGCCACAGCCCTCACTGTTCACACCCTGGGAATGTTCAGGAAGCTAGAAGTTACCTGCACACACAAGACCATGCTAATCGTTCTTGATGAGACTTCCCACTTCCATAGCCACATCCATGGGCCTCTGACTCCACCTGCGGCCACTGTTCTCCCCATTTGTGCGAGCCAGTTCCAGCCGGGAGCTCCTCATGGGGAGGATGTGCTACGCGGGCCACGGTGAGCCGGTGAGCCGGAGGCCGGTGCAGGAGGAAGTTGGGGGGCGGGGGCAGCCAAAGTGCCCGGATCACAGAAGCTGCCCAGCAAAGTGAGCTCTCCTTTGGGGGGGCCAGCCCCCCTGGCTTCCAGGGGCTTCTGCCCACCCCACGAGAGATCCCACAAAAGAGTCCACTTGGGCACACACTGGTTGAGCCCCTGGCCTGGAGGCTATTTCAAACGTCAGAGAGCGGTACTGCCTGGGTGGACCTCTGTGACCAAAGCCTTTCCTAGCCCCTGCGGGCTTGCTCTTCTCTGGCCCTGAAAGGTTTGTTAGCCACGCCCATTTTCTTCCTGCTCTTAAGTAGACTGGCGAAAGGGCCATGCTGGGTCATTGGTGGATAATATCAGGTACAACCAGCTATTTAAGAGATGGCAGTCACAGAAACGAGAGCTATTGCATGATCCCCTTTCTCAAGTTTGGCTTTGCTCTTGTATGCATATGTATGCGTGTATGCACACACATGCGTGTGCCTGTGTGACTGTGTATGTGTATCCTCCCTACAGTGCATTTTTTCTTTTTACCACATACTACGCTGACATTCTAGACACAATCTCAGTTACTTACTATTCCCACTTGCAGAAGAGAACCCTGAGCCCCAGGGAATGTGTATGATGTGCCTGATGTTACATAGCTGGTAGGCACGGAGTGAGACCTGCACTTAGATCTGTGAACTCCATCGTGGCACTGTCCGGAGGGCCAGACCACAGTCCTTCTGAACTTGCCCTCCCTCTTCCACCCCCACTTCCACCCTCCCTCTTCCACCCTTCCTCTTCCAGCCCCCTTACCCAGCGCCTTCATGTAGCCTTCAAAGTTGTCATTGCTCTCCATCTCCCAGGTTCCATTCTGGTCCTTCGTCATGGTGATGGCCTCTGGTTACCGTGGGTGTGTGGTGCACGGTGCACGTCCAGGAGCAGGCTGCAGGGAGAGCGCTGTGAAATGAGTCACTTTTATAGCCTCATGGGCTAGGTTTATGGCTCTAAAGATAACAGGTTCAAAGGTGATCAGCACAGCCCAGAGGAACTTTCCTTTCCTTTTCAAAGTTCAGAGGACCACAGGCAACCCGTGCTCAAAGTCCTGGCCTGGGCCAGCATGCGTGTCCTGGTGACAGCCACACACACCTGGCCCTGGGGCAGCTCGTTTTTGGCTGGCTTGGCTCCAACAGAGCCCCCGGGCCCACACAGAACACACCATTCAGCACAGGAAGAACACAAGTAGCCACCCCCATGTGCACTACAGGCCACAGCCCCTAGGCCTCAAACGTGGAGTCTGTCAGCCACGTAAGCACTTCCACTTCCGATCTGGCTAATGAAGCCAAGAGGATGAGCACTCACACCTGTACTCCGTGCTGACCAATGTGCATTCTTCATCTTGTTTTATTTCACACGAGCTCTGAGTTATGTTTAGCGATCTCCATTTTACAGATGAGAACAGATCAAGGAGGTTAAATCACATGCCTAACAACAACCGGTGAGTGGCTGAGCTGGGATTCAAGCCCAGGCCTGTCTGGCCCCAAAGCTCTTTCTTTAGCGGTGTGAGCAAGTCAGGTGGGAAAGGTCAGAGTTTGGTTTGGGAGCCCGATTCTCACTTGCTTTCTTCCCCAAGGGCCTCTACACAGCAGGGTCACTCAAAAAGGTATGTTCTAGGACAGTGGTTAGCAAACTGCGGCTCGCGAGCCATATGCTGCTCTTTGGCCCCTTGAGTGTGGCTCGTTCACAAAATACCACGGCCTGGGCGAGTCTAATTTGAAGAAGTGGCATTAGAAGAAGTTTAAGTTTAAAAAATGTGGCTCTCAAAAGAAATTTCAATCGTTGTACTGTTGATATTTGGCTCTGTTGACTAATGCGTTTGCTGACCACTGTTCTAGGAGAACTAATCTTCTGAAAGCAAGCAGGTTAGGTTATGGCCTAGGTTTGGGAGGGAGGCCAGATGGGGCAGTGGGACAGCTTCAAGACCCCAGGAGCAAGCTGAAGTTCACCTTGACCTATATGGGTGGGGCTGGGAAGGAGGGAGGGTACACTGACATTTGGGTAAAGACTCTTGGTTCAGGGCTGTTCTTCAAACTGACTGTCCCAGTGGGTCAGAAAATGGGTTGATTTATTGCTCTGCCACATGGTTCTGAGAGATGGGATCTGATTAGGGGTCCCTACACTCTGAAAAAATGGGGGTGTATGTTGAAGATGGGTAAACCATGAGTACTCCAAAGCAAGGCCAAGTTTGATGGCCACCCTGGACTCTCCTGTATGTATTCTTGTGCTATGAAATCTAAGCAAATGGCTCCATCTGTGTGTGGTTTGGGAGATGTCAAATAACACATTTGTTTTTCAGTAAATACATGGGAATCAGGAAGACACACAGTAAAAAGTTGCCCAGCTGTGGTTAAAAGGGGAAGAGGAGAATAAAGGACAAGTTCTCCACAAATGGAGAATATCAATATATCCCCAGAAGCAGATAGAAAGTGAAGAATTGGGTTTCATTCTTTGAAGCCCTGCAGAGGCTGCTGTAGTCTGAGCACTCAGCCTTCTGGGTTGGAGAAGTAGGCATTCCTCTCCAGGTTCAGATTCAAGGGTGGAATTCCACACAGCCACTCCTACCCAAACCAAGTCCCCTCTAGGTCTCCCTTGCAAGAAAGCATAAAAAAACTGGCCGTGTAGCAGTTAGGGGCAAAAATGGGGCTGTTAATTTTAATAAGCCAAGGACCCGGGTTTAATGGGCATGGGAGTTATTCACCTTGTGTAAGGCGGGAAGTTGAAACTGAGATGCTAGCAGAAAACCAAACCACTTGAGGAACTAATTCTCAGTGAGCATGTGAAGTAGCCAAAGCTGCCCAGAGACAACAAGAACGTTTGCCTATTTAGCCCAGGATCTATGTGAGTTAAATGCAGTTCTGCTCTGTTCCAACTCTGATTTGGGGTTTGAATTTATGCTTCCAGTTAGCCAAAATCTATACTAATAAAAGCATAATATGATAATTAGACCAGACAGCCAAATGACCTTCTGGGCGTCATTTTGGATCCCGGTCTGGACAAAGCCATGGTGTCAGAGGTCGAGCCAAGGTGGTTAGGGGTGATCAGGCCAGCAGGGGAGCAGTTGGGGGTGATCAGGCAGGCAGGGGAGCAGCTAGGAGCATTAGGCCTGCAGGCAGAGGGGTTAAAGGCGATCAGGCTGTTGAGTGGTTAGGAGCCAGTGGTCCTAAATTGAAGAGGGTGCAGGCCAGGCTGAGGGACTCTCCTCCTCCCTACTCCTCCCACCCCCATGAACAAATTTTGTACACCAGGCCTCTAGCATTAAAATAAAGTCCTTATAATCTTTAAAATACTTATAGACTGCTAGAAATAAGTAAATGTAAAAACTATCTGGAGGACACACCTTTGATGGAGGCCAAACAGAATTCCTATAATAAAGCCATGACAAATGCGATTTCATAATACCAAACTGTAAAATAGGTGAAAATAATCCACCTAAAGCAAACATCAGCAGAAACGTACCATCAAATTAGACTTCCAAGAGCTTCAGATAAAAAACAAACAAAACAGATAAACTATAAATAAGTGTGTTTAAAATGAATAAAGAAAACTACAAGCTCTTAAAAACAAAAAAGAATAAAGTGATGTGTTTTAAAAGTTGATTTAAAAATAACCAGAGTAGTTGTAGAAATTTAAAAATACAGTCATTAAAGTTAAAAGGTAATAGATGGGTTAAACACAGTTGAAGAGAAAATTAGTAAACTAGAATGTAGTGCCAAGAAAACTACCCCCATGTATGTAACACAGAACACACTGGTGGAAATTCAGAACACCAACATAAAAATAACTTTCTAAAATCGTCCAGAGAAAACAAAATAAGCCATAGAGATTACCTATAAAGAAACAATACAAAATAATCTCATTTATAATTGCATCAAAAAATCATAAAATACCTAAAAATAATTAGCCAAAGAAGTGAAAGTCTTGTACTCTGAAAATTACATTGGAGAATTAAATTGAAAAAGATACAAATAAATGGAATGATATGCCTTGCTCATAGATTGGAAGGATTAATATTGTTAAAATATTTTTACTATCTAAAGCTGTATACAGATGCAATGCAATCCTATGAAAACACTAATGACATTCTTTCCAGAACTAGAACAACTACTAAAATTTATAAGGAACCATAGAAGATCCTGAATAGCCAAAGAAATCTTGGGAAAGAACAAAATGGGAAGTATCATGCTCCCTCACATAAAACTAGAGTGCAAAGCTACAATAACCAAAACAGTATGGTATTGGCACAAAAACAGATATGTAGATCAATGGAATACAATAAAGAGCCCAGAAATAAAATCTTTCTTATATGGTCAATTAATCTACAACAAAGGTGTCTAGGATATAAAAGCAGGTAAAGACTATCTCTTTAATAAATGGTATTGGGAAAAGTAGACTTGCAAAAATATTTGGACTACTTTATTACATTCTATATGAAAATAAGCTCAAAATGGATTAAAGATGTGAAGCCATAAAACTCCTAGAAGAAAACACAGACAATATTTCTTTCACATCAACACACACACACACACACACACACACACACACACACAAATATTATTCAGAAATATCTTTTTGGATATGTTTCCTTGGGCAATGGAAAGAAAAAAAAAATGAGACTATTTCAAACTAAAAAGTTTTTGCACAGCAAAGGAAACCACCAACAGAATGAAAAGACATCCTACCGAATGGGAAAAAGTGTTTACCAATGATACATCTGATAGGAGGTTGATATCCAAGATATATATGGAACTCATACAACTGAACACACACAAAAAATAAACAACCCAATTTAAAAATGAGCAGCAGACCTGAATAGATATTTCTCCAAAGCAGATACATAAAGGTGGCCAACAGACATATGAAAAGATGCTTACTATCATAATCATCAGGGAAATGCAAATTAAAACCACCATGAAATATCACCTCACATCTTAGGAGATTAAGCTCCTAGCCAGTGTTTGATTTGTCCTCAACAAAACACGGCTTCAGTGTGTGCTTTGGTCTCAGATGAGTAGAAGATGGGGTGGGTGGGGAGTTCTGCAAACTATCATCAATAAATCAACAAATAAGTGCTGGTGAGAATGCAGAGAAAAAGAACTCTCATACATTGTTGGTAGGATAATAAATTAGTACAGCCACTATGAAAAACAGTATGAAGGTTCCTAAAAAAATAAAAAATAAAGCTGCTATAAAATCTAGCAATTCCATTTCTGGGAAGTTATCTGAAGGAAGCAAAAACACTAATTTGAAAAGATATATGCATCCATATGTTCATTGCAGGATTACTAGTTTTATCCAAGATATGAAAGCAACCTAGATTTCTATCAATAGGATAAAGAAGATGTGGTACGTATAAACAATGGGATAAGTTAAATAAATCAGGCAGAGAAAGACAAATACCGTATGATTTTACTTGATGTGGAATCTAAAACAAAACAAAACAGACCCATAGTTATAGAGGCAACTGATGGTTGCCAAAGGAAAGGGGAAGTGGGGGGATGGGAGAAAAATAAAACAACTCAGACATTTTTAAAAAGAAGCAATACAATAATCACATTAATAATAGACTTTTTAGCAATGGATGAAATACAAAAATGGAATGATATCTTACTATAATGAAATATGGATTCTAAAACCCAGCCAACTTCATTAAAATCTGAAGGTTTTAAAAAATAAAGTATTTTTAGATTTAATAGCCCCAAACTGGAAACAACCTAAGCATCCACCAACAAGTTAATGGAGACACAAATTGTGGTATATTTACCCGACAGTAAAAAGTAAGAATGTCCTGAGACACATACCAACAGGGATGAGTCCAATGACATACGCTGA